AGTTACTGCCTCAAGACTGTCCACTCCTTTGGCTGGCACACAGACAATAAATAGAAACAGAGTAGAATACCAATAATACAATTATACATGTCGTTGTAGCCTCTGATATGCAGATCATCTCTCCACTCTTCCCCCAAATCATTGAGTTCTTAGGCAAATATATGCAATCACTGTTTATAAAAATGGGCTTATATATACAAAGATGAATAAAATTCAGTCCATGTACTCCCTAAAATTCCATAAGCAAGCAAAAGTTATGAAAAACAAACAATAAACTATATGTAAACTATATGAGGGTGCTTTCCAAAAGTTTGTGGGAAAAAATCAAGGAAGAACGGAATTGAAAAATAAAAGATCCACCGTAAGAGGAAATTTTAAAGTAAATCTAAGGAGGAAAATAATTTTTTAAGGAGAGAACTGTAAGGTATCTAAAGAAGAAAGACTGAGAGATCTCCATGGCTTTATCAAGAAAACTTGGAAAGAGCTCCTTGGAGTCATAGGGGCAATAGGACTGATTGACATGGGCTGAGAAATAAGGGAGGGGGCGGTGTGAGAAAGTCAATACTATACTGGGATATGCAGGAAGCACAACCCAAAAAGGGATGCATACGATGAAAGAGACTTAAATTGAAAATATGGGTCCACAGAGACATAGGTAAATCATAGATACATGAATGAATTTAGAGCTCACATTTAATCAAAGCCCTCAACTAATAACAATTCGTTCTTATGATGTGACTCTACTCAATACTTGCTCTCATGGAGATCACTGAAGATATGGTTGCTATAGCAAAGTGTGGTAAAAAATCAGATGGTGCCCAGCTATCAGAAAGAACAATTTCTGGGTTCTTAAAGGCTGTGTTAAAACAAGCAGCCATGTAGGTGAGATGACAGCTAAATCCACACAGAAGAAGCACACCAGCATGTGTGATCTAAGGATTATAAATAATAAAATCCAAGACCAGAAGATGGGATTGTATTAGAGCTTAAATTCTGGGCATCCAGAGTACAGGAGGCTATGGGTGACTCTGATAAGTCCAAAGTCCATCTGCAGGGTTCCCTCGGTTTAAAACTGTGTTCAATTCCTTCTAATTATTGGCCAGGGATGTAAATAGCCTTGCTATCAGAGTGGAATGTAAAGTGGACTAATGCAGATATAGTTAGGCTATAATTTATCATTTGTTCTCCCTTTTGACCCATTTTAATTGTTTGAATTTTTTTGTTGTTATATTTTCAGCTGAGTTTTGTTCTATAGTTTATTTTGTTATAATTGCTGGGGGGTTGTTGTTGTTGTTGTTTTCTCCCTCTTCAGTTTTGTATGTTTTTCTGTATATGAAATCCAAGACAGTTAAATCTATAGAGATGGTTAACTAGTTTAATAGTGTCTTGGGATTCTGGCAGGGGAGTTTGGGTGTGAAATGAGGAACTAATAATAATGAGTACAAGAAAGAAGAAAATGTTTAAAATTTACTGTGGTGATGATTTGTGCAACTTCCAAAAATATGTTTAAACTATTGAGCTATATGGTATGTGAATTATATGCTGATAAAATGGTTTGAAACATTTTTTAAAGAAAATATGGGTCCAATAGAACAAGAGAGCAGTCAAGTTACAGAAGAGGTAAGATCATCAAGAATCAGAAAGGGTGGAATCCGGTGTGGAAGTGTTAACCTTTGCCAAAAATAAGAATCTTTTGTCTGTTATAAGAAGATAAAGTAGAAAGAAAAAAAGAGCTGGAAATAAGTTTTCCAAGTTAGAAACAGAAAGTTGTGTGTTTCCATCTGATAGTAACTTGTGCTTTCTCTGGGGCTATAGGAAGTGATCTGAAGGCATGTGCAGCAGTCAGAAGTCTGAGAAGAGAAGATTTAAAATAGCCATTGTTAGGACTGGGAAAGGAGTACTTGGAAAAGGTGACTTATTCCTTCCTGGCTTTGCCAGCAACTGGTGGAGGGAAAGGAAAGTTGTCATTGAGTCAATTCCAGTTCATGGTGACCCCAGGAATGTCAGAGGAGAACTGTGCTCCATAGGGCTATCTATTTTTTATGTTTTTGTTTTTGCGAATATACACAGAAAAACATACCTCAATCCAACAGTTGCTAAATGTATAATTCAGTAACTAATTACATTCATCATGCTGTGCAATCATTTTCATCCTTCTTTTCTAAGTTGTTCCATTCTCATTAACATACATTCCCTGCCCCTTAAAGTTTCTATCCAATCTTTTTAGTTGCTGTTGTTGGTTTGTTCCCATATAAACAGTTCTTAAAAGAATATAATGCTCCAGGCAGACATTTCTAACAAATTAAGGTGAACTATTATTTAGTTGTAAAAAGACTTGAGGGGGTATTTTTGGTTGAAGGTTTAAAGGTTATCTCAGGGACAAAGTTTCAGAATTCTTTCCGCCTCTATGGCTTGAGAAAGTCTGGAGTCCGTGAGAATTTTACATTCTGTTTTGAATTTCCCTTTTAATTAGGATTATTCTATATAGACTATATATTTGACCAAAATGCTCAATAACAGTAGCTGGGCACCATCTAACTTTTCTGGTCTTATGACAAATGAAGCAGTTGTTCAATTAGCCACACATTCTATTTCTTCCTCCAGTTTCTGCCTTTCCTTTCTTTATTGTTCCAGGTGAACAGAGATCATTTTTGTTGTGCCTTTCATGACCTTTAAGACCCCAAGTACTGTGCAGCAAGCAAGGAGGTAGAACAGAAGCACTTCAGATACTAATAGGCCAATTACCTGGGAGCTCTGGTGAAAGTTGAATCCCGCACCTCAAAACCAAAGAACCAAATCCCAACGGGTATTTGGTTGTGCCTAACTCCATAAGGTTTCCAATGGCTGAGTTTTGGGAAGTGTATTGCCTGGACTTTCTTCCAAGGATGAAATCATATCTCAAACATTTTCGTTAACAGCTGAAAGTGTAAAAAATGTGGACCACACAGGTACTCCACGAATATTAATTTACATTTACTGAATAATTATAATTTGCTAAAGGTTTTACATACACAGACTCATTTCATTCTCATAACACTGATGGGATGAGTACTGTTATGACAAATGTGCATCCAAAGATTTAGAGAGGTTAAGTGATTAGTAGCCATCACTCAGCCAGTAAGTGATGGAATTTGGTTTCATGGTAGTTTGAGTAACTTCAGAGCCTACATTTCAGCATCATACTTATCTATCACAGTGTCATTTATTATCATACAATGGTCTCACTTGTGTCTATAAATATCTTCTTGATTATTTTCTTAAATAATGCCTTTCCTCTACAACCTGAATCTAAGTGATTCAGGGCTGAACCTGCCTTCTTTATTTTGTATTTTCTAAAAATACAAAATTCCAAGAAACAGGACCAAAAGTAATAACACTTTATAAGCATTAATTCATTGGTATTTATAGTTAAAACATCACAGAAACATTAGAACCTTTTAAAGCAAACCACATTTAACACTTTTTTTCTGTGTTGTCCTTTTTCATCTGCATTTATATGTGTGTCATATAACCAATTATCATTCTTTTATGTTCTGCTTATTACATTTATTTGTAAATATTTCCAGTGGTATTCATAGTCTTCATAAAGTTTTCATATTTGTTAAGCACTTTCATGTTTCTTTTCAGTCTCAAAAGATAGAATCGTTTCTTCCCATTTTAGAAGGTGATGGTGGGTCAGTGTCGAATTCTGCCCATCTGTACAGACTTCTGTTCAAGTCACATCCAATTCACTGTGAACACAACCACCAACCACCAAGGCTTGCTTTCAAGTTGCAGTGATGTTGTTAGCCTGGGTAGACTAGAGAAACAAATTCATAAACACTCATGTGTATAAGAAAGAGCTTTATCTAAAGAGTAATTGTTCATTAAGACAACGTCCCAACTCAGTCTAGATCAAGTCTGTAAGTCTGATATTAGCACATATGTCCAATACCTATCTATAAAGTCCTCTTCAGACTCCTGAAACACATGCAATGACACTGAATACAGGAAGATCACAGGCCAGTGAGTGGGAAGTCTTGTGGATCCAGTGGCATTGTAAGCATCTGAGCACTGGCAGGAAGCTCCACATGGCTCCTCCAGCTCAGGGCACTTGCGTAGTTCCATTGTCTTGTCAGCTGCAATGTCTCCCAGCCAGCTATTTATCTCCTTAGTGCCTCTAAATGAGGTTATTAAGCTGGGACCTAATTTGACAGGCTAAACTCCACCCCTTCACTCTTAAAATCTCAAATTGGCAACAGACTACTGTATTTAACGACCACAGATGCTAAACAGGTTTCAGCAGAACATCTAAATTCCTAGACCGTAACCCTTTACAGGAATAGAAAGCCCTATCTTTCTCCCAAGGAGCAGCTAGTGATTTTCCCCACAGCCCTACATGGAACCACCATGCCACCAGGGCCCCTCGCCTTCTACTCCTCAGACAAGGAAAATCATACAGAACACAATGGTTCTTCCTTTAACTAATCTCAGGAATGGTTCTGTTACCCACGGAGATGCCATGAGTTGGGGTAACTAGACAGCAGCTAACTAGAAAGATTGGATGGTTCTCGTGATGTTGGATAAATATTTAGACATCTTTTCTCATTTAGATATGAATGCTGTTTGCCATGCAATCATTTAGTGTGTCAGACTCATAATTTAGTACAACAACCCTGAGTCAGGCAGTCACACACAATGCAAAATATGCAAAGATCTGAATCATGCTCAAAAGTAGGAAAAGAATATACAGAGGGATGATGCCTACAAACCCCATGGAAATCTTAGATGAAGTGAGGTTTCGGAAAAGGAAGATATATGAAAAGGCAACTGATAGGGTAAAAGGATACACTAGAGGTTCAATAAGGCTTAGGAGAGAGCCTCATGGAGGCAGTAGGATAACCTGAAGAGAGAGTATCTGTCAGTGGAACCAGAATGGGTGGACATATAGGGATATAAATGGAATTTTTTCTGACAAAAATGTTTCATCCTCTGGGTTTTCATGCAGATAGATCCAAGAAATGGAAAAGGGAAACCACACCAGTGTCTCTGAATTTCTCCTCCTGGGCTTTTCAAGTTGGCCAGGACAGCAGGCACTACTCTTTGCACTTTTCCTGTGTCTCTACCTAACAGGACTCTTGGGGAACTTGCTGATCTTGCTGGCGATTGCCTCAGACCATCTCCTCCACACACCCATGTATTTTTTCCTTGCCAATCTCTCCTTGGTAGACCTCTGTCTTTCCTCAACAACGGTTCCCAGGATGCTGCTGAACATCCAAACAGAGGCGCAGTCCATCTCCTATCCTGCCTGCCTGGCTCAGATGTACTTCTGTATGATGTTTGCCAACATGGACAACTTTCTTCTCACGGTGATGGCATATGATCGCTATGTAGCAATCTGTCACCCTTTGCATTACTCCACCATTATGACCCAGCGCCTCTGTGCCTTTCTGGTGGCTGTCCCCTGGGTCATTGCCACTTTGAACCCCCTTTTGCACACTCTCCTGATGGCTCGCCTCAACTTCTGCTCTGACAATGTCATCCACCATTTCTTCTGTGATATCAACTCTCTCCTCCCTCTGTCCTGTTCTGACACCAGCCTTAATCAGCTGATGGTTCTGGCTGTGGTGGGGCTGGTCTTTGTGGTACCTTCAGGGTGTATCCTAGCATCCTATACTCGAATCATCTCTGCTGTGATGAAAGTCCCCTCTACCCAAGGAAAACTCAAGGCTTTCTCCACCTGTGGCTCCCACCTTGCCTTGGTCATTCTTTTCTATGGAGCGATCGCGGGAGTTTATCTGAGTCCGTCATCCAACCACTCAACTGAAAAAGACTCAGCAGCAGCAGTGATTTTCATGGTCGTTGCCCCCGTGCTGAATCCCTTCATTTACAGTCTGAGAAACAATGATCTGAAAGGGGCTTTAAAGAAGGCCCTACACCTGAGTCAAATCTTCTCCTAGTGATTTGTACACCCTGGGGAGTTTAACAGGAAGAAAATCCTTATGCTATTGTCATTTCAATTTTAATATTATAAGTTATTGTTAAGTACAAGCACACTTGACATGATACATATTGCCTACACACTGTAGGAGAGATATAATCACAGCCATTATCCATTTGAACTCTCCTAGAAAAAGTACTGGTGTTGAAAAATATTTATATATAAAGTCCATGACAATTACAATGAAAACATGATACGAACATTTGAATACATAATAGACCACAGATAGCTCAGATTACCACAGGATTAGACATGGGGAATGCAGAACAGAGGATAATAATCTCAGGACTGTCCTCCTGATAAAGGGGAGTGTAGGCGATAACAAGAGTGTCATGCATGAAAAGCCCTAGAGAACAAAGTTGTTATGAAATCAAAGGTCAAGTCATAACTGTAATGTGAGGTCAGAGGGAGAAGAAATTGATGAGGGCTGAGAGGGCAAGGGGAGCTTGCAGAGAAAGACAATACTTAATCTTGCTCTTGAATGACAGATGAGCTCTACATAAGAATGAAGAACACATGAAAAAGATTTCTAGGGATGAGTGGGGCATAGTGTTATTACATATAACAATCTGAGTCAAGAGAATGGTCTGTATTAGAAGTAGTAAGAGTGAGAGATGGACAGTTATTCATCACCCTTTTGTTTTATATTGATTCTTGTTTTATAATTATAGTATGTGAATTTCCTATAGCCTGCCCTTTTTTCCCTGGGGTGGGGAGTGGGGCATTTATGTTTATGTCTATGTCTTAAATTCTATCTATATAGATAATTGTACTAACTTATATAAAGAATTGCCTCAGAGCTATTAATCATCATTTAAAATTTTTTAAATCTATATTGTTAATCACTCTGAAATATGTGTAGTTGCTACTATGTTTTTTTAGTGTGGTTAGGTGCTGCTAGGTCTGTTTTGACTCATAGCCACCCTACATACTACAGAGCAAAATATTGCACTCAGTCCTGTATGATCCTCACAATAGTGTGTTTGAATCCATTGTTGCTACTGTCAATCCAACTTGTTAAGGATTTCCTTTTTTTTGAACCTCTACTTTCCTGTCTTTTTGCAGGAATTAGATCTTCCTGATAATATGTTCAAAGTAAATGAGAGCAAGTTTTACCCTCTTCTTTCAAGACAATGTGTTCATTCTCTGGCAATCCATGGTATATTCAACATTTCCCAGCACCATAGTTCAAATGTGTCCATTCTTCTTCAGTCTTCCTTTTCACTGTCCAGTTTCACATGTACATGAGGTAATTGAGAATATAGGTGTATCATTTAGTCAGGTGCACCTTAGTCATCCCTTTTCTTTTTAAAATTTTAAAAGATATCTTCAGCAGCAAATTAGCCCAATGAAATCTATCACTTGATTTCCTGACTGCTGTTTCCATGAAAATTGGTTATGGATACAAGTAAAATAAAATCCTTGACAACTTTCATCTTTTCTGATTATCTTGATGTTCTCCTGTTGTGAGAATTTTTTTTTTCTTCATGTTGAGGTGTGATTCACACAAAAGCCTATGTCATGCGATCTGTCAGTAAGTAAGCTTCTTCAAGTACTCTTTATTTCTAGCAGGCAAAGTTGTGTCATCTGCATCTCACAGGTTGGTCGTTAGTCTTCCTCCAATCCTGATGTAATGGTCTTCTTTATAGAGTCCAGCTTCTAAGATTGAACCGTGATCTGATGCATACTTTTTCCAATTTTAAACCAATGTTTTTAGTAATTACCTGTGATTTGTAATGAATATATTAAAGTTCATCAATATCTATATACTCCCCCCAAACAGAACAAGTAATATACCTCCTCCTTCTCTCTGAAAATCCCCATCTTAAAATCATCTCGGTTTTCATTTCAGTTTAACTAATCAGTGTAACTTTCTTTTGAATACCATTATGATGCTTCTTCCCAAATGGCAGCTAACGGGGTGATAGATGTCTCTACAATTTGTTAGGATTTCTTTTGCTACTAAGAGGTGGATAAAAATAAAGTGGCTGAAATAAAGCAGATACTTATATTTATTGCATATGAAAGCAATTTGAAAGGTGGGTAGTCCAAAATTGACGTGATGGTTTCCCAGTGGTAATTGATGCTCTTTCTATCTTTCTGTTTTACCATGCAATGCATGTAGATTTCACCCCCAAAGTAACCATACGGCTCAACTTGGATACTGGACTAGAGAAGAATAAAGAAGGAAAAGTAAATTGATAGCTCATCTTCCAGCTAAGTCAAGCTGCCTTATTGAACTTTCCAAGGGAGAAAAAAAAACCAGAAACTTATGCAACAAAATTATTCACATATTTTATTGACTTGCATTAATACCAACAGAGACTGAGAAACTTTGGTAAATTGGCTCTTTAGCCAACCATATCAGTGTCAGTTGTTAAGAAGGAGAGGGAATAAAGTAGATAGCTAGTAGTCTACTTTTATAAAGTAGATAGCTTTATAAAAATGACAACTTTTTATAAAGAGAGCCTTAGTGCCACTGTCGTTAAGCACTGGACTGCTAACTGCAAAGTCAGTGGTTCAAATCCCCTCCCAGGTTCTCCCAGAAGAAAGGGGAGGCTATTTGCTCCCATAAAAATTCAGTGAAGGTTGAGGTCTTTTTTGTTTGTTTGTTTTAATTGAATGGTATTTCACTGTATGGATGGATTGTTAGTAATGCCCAACTATGAATTTTGAGTTGTTTCCAATTGCTTGTATCATAAACAATGCTTCAATGAACAATCTTGAATTTGCATCATGTTACAAATATGCAAGTATATCTACTGGATATTTTACCAAGGAGAGATTTCTGGATCAATAGTTAAATTGAACATGCATAACCTTATGCCAATTTCTTCACACTAATCAGTTTTATGGCCTCACTTTTCTATGGGAGTGCTCATGAATGGCAGTTACTAATTTGAAATATTTGGCAGGAAAAAGAATTGCTAGAGATTGTTCCTTCTTTGGCTTATCTTTAGGTGTATAAAGAAAACTTACTGTCCTTGGTTTCTCCCAATTTAAATGTCTGTTCAGAGTTCTTTGGGAATCTTCTTGATCCCATTCACATGGACTTTTACTTTTTTAGTGAGTCCCTGTTTAAGGATTGCCTGATGATCCCTAGGCTTAATAGCAAATAATGAAAAACAGAAGCCACACCTTTCTCTTGGGTGAAAGAAAACTGTTTAAGACAAATGTAATAGGGGAAAAAAGAAAGAAAAGATGTATTACTTGTTATTAAACTTTGAATATTAGAATAGTTTTAGATTTGCATAAAAATTGTGGAAGTTCCCGCATGCCCTGGACTTAGGTTGCCCTCTTACTAAATGAGATTTATCCCATAGACACACAGCTGATTCAATACTATGAAATCCACCATATCATCATGCCAAAGAGGCAAAATCATAGGATTATCTCATTTGAATCATAAAAAGTATCTGCCAAAAAGTCCAACATCCATCCATGATAAAAACTCTCCACAATCTAGGAATAATGGGAACTTCCTCAAGTTGGTAATGAATGTCTGGACAAAAAAAGAAGGAAAGAGCTAACATCACACTCAGCGATGAGATGCTAAAGATTTTCCTCTAAGACTGGGGAAAAGGCAAACCTTCAAAGCACCGACAATGCCAAATGCTGGTGAGGATGTGGACCAACAGAAACTATGACTCTTTGCTGATGGAAATGCAAAATGGTGCAACCACCCTGGAAGACAGTTTGGCAACTTCCTATCAATGTTAACATTATTTTACCATAGTATCCTACATTCATGATCCCAGGTACCTAGCGGCTTTGAAAACTTATGTTTGCACAAAAAACCTGCATACAAATGTTTATAGTACCTTCTTAAGTTTAAAAACTAGAAGCAAACAAAATATTATTCAATAGAGCAGCGGTTCTCCACCTGTGGGTTGCTACCCCTTTGGGAAATGAATGACCCTTTCACGGGGGTTGCCCAATTCATAACAGTTATGAAGTAGCAATGAAAATAATTTTATGGTTGGGGGGTCACCACAACATGAGGAACTGTATTAAAGGGTCACAGCATTAGGAAGGTTGAGAACCACTGCAATAGAGGAAGTGATCATCAAACGGCATACATCCATGCAATGGAATTCTATTCTACAATAAAAAGCACTCAGTTATCAAGACATACAAACATATGGCTGCATCTTAAACATATATTGATTTCTAATTTTAAATTTCATTGATTTCTGCTCCAATTTTTGTTATTCCTTTTCTTCTTCCTTTGGCTCAAGATATTCTTCTTTCTCTAGATTAGATGCATTGCTTTTACTAGTTAATTTTTTTGTGTGGTTGTTATTCACTTATTCACCTAAATAGCCTCTTCAGTAAAGAGAGAAATTAGAGACAATAATGAGAGGTATGGGCAACAATCCAGTTTGAAAATGTGGACATGAGGAGCAATAACCACAAATTAACCTGGGAAGAAAATGGGGACTGTGCAGGTAAAACTGTAAGAGAATTTAGTAATAATACTCAGGAAAATTCCAAAAGAAGAAAGCTTAGCAAGTAGGTAAAAATGATTAAGGCTGGTAGTTTAGAGAAGATGGTGTCTAGTTAGATTCACCCGCCTGTAGCTCCTGCTGCCAGACCATAAAATTGAGAGGTAAGGTGAAGGAGACAGGGAGGCAGAGTTTTGAAATTAGAATCAGGGTACTAGGGTTTGTCCTGAACCCCACTGTTTAAAATTTCCACTGACAAAGCAAACCAAGAATGCATAAACCACTCTAGTTTTGGCGTGCTGGGCATGTGGGCTTCAGTTGAGTAGCTGCCTGCTCCCTGGTTTGACAGCAAGTAGCGATTTCCCCAGACTGAGGCCTTAAAGGGGACATAATCCCAGACGAGAGGAGAACCTCTGAAAGCTAGTCACAGACCCCACACCAAAGTGCCCTGTGCTGTTAGCTGCCTCGAGCTCATAGCCTGGGGATCAGGGTTGGCGGGTAGCCATAGATTTGG